TAGCCACATTCGGTTTATTATCGCATTAAATTGCATTATTTATTATGCCATTTGGACAGCTTAAACCAACTTTTACAAACATAAATATATGTGTATGCCTGTATATTATATATGTGCGCCTGCTAGAATAGCCAATCGAGTTTCACTTATGTATTTGCAATTGTATAGGGTGTTTTTTTTAGATGTGTCGGTGGTACAATTGGTCTCGCATCACGTTTACTCTAATGAATAATGCTCATCCTTATAGACGCTCTTGGTGCTGTAAAGCAGAGCACGAAGAAAGACCAGAATGTGTTCATTCCCCATCACGCCTCATAATTGGAGATGTGCCCATTCACTTTATAGAAGATTTCGCGGAATGATCTTGGCTTGTGGGTTTATAAAATCAACGTCCAGCTAGCGCGTTCGGTGTACTTTATGGGCAGAAGAAATCAGTAGTCCATATTTACTCAAAAGTGAAGGCGATCATAATGTCGTAGCCAACGGGGAACACTATAGAGACGTGATTAATGACTTTGGTGGATATTGATATGTACGAACTTTGGTTTCAACAAGACGGGGATATGTGACGTACAGCCAACGAAATAATAAATTCATTGAAGGAAACTTTTGTAAAGAGCATTATCCCGCGTAGTGGGCCTGTGACAAAGCCTCCAATATTTTGCGATTTAACTCCGCAGAACTATTTTTTTTTTCGCAGATAAGCCCGATTAACGCCTTGAAAGAGAATATTCGGCGCGTTATTATTGAACTGGAAAAAATGCTCGAAAATTGGGCCTCTCGACTGGCATTTATTCGAGCCAGCCGCGGCGATCACTTGCCGAAAAAGCTGAGTTCTTGGTTACAACATTAAATTATATGCGTTTTTGTTCTTCTTCAAAATCATATATCTAAAAAAAAATACCCTGTATAAATTTGTTGTACATATACATATATATATAACGCGCTTAAGTATGAATACAGTTGTAAGTTTTATGCTACAAGGAGATTTAAAAATGCCACCTAGTCGTTTAATAAACAAGTATTTATTGGTGAGCGTGGGCTAGGCGGTATTTTATGTACATACCAGTATATGTTGTATGTATATATGTATTTATATATAATTTCCGTTGCAATGATTGAATGCTTTAATTATTGATTAATGTAAACGAACATTTTTTTGGTCATCTGTAGGGTAGATAAAATCGAAAAAGTCGCAGCAAAACCCAGCATGTATGTACATACAAACAAACACATTTATGTGAAAAAAATATGTCTCCTCGTTGATTGCTGTCAACACATTTTACATTTTTAAATGTGTCAATCAGTTTTTACCGCAGGACTTCCGTTAACAGTTTATTTAATATATATGTATTTAAACACATACATGTACATACATAAGTACAACACTCAAATATCTCTTTACATAATACCGTAATATATGAAATTTCCAATTACTCAACCAACGCACTATGGTTCACGAAACCAATTTTTGTGGCCAAAAATTACTTATTTAAATACCATAAAATAAAAAATTTTTGCCAACCGCGCAATTAAAAAAGGATCAAAGAAAAATGTAACGTTTCAAAATATTCTCTGTTAAGGTCTATACACTCTTGCATGCGTCAAAGCATCTTTGCCACTCTGGTTGAGGTACTCGTATCTCCAAAACATGCATTCTTAACCCATCAACCGCCTCTTCAGGTTACGTTTACCTCTCAGCTTATTTTTTACGTACGGTGCCAAGTCTGGACTTTACGGTGGATGACTCAGCAAATCGATGTTTTGATTGCTCAGAAATGCAGTTGCTGCAGTTGAGAAGAGTGATCCGTCTTTGGTGGTTGGTTTTCCTGATATCTTGAAAAACAACTGACAAACAAATGCTTTTGTATCACTCAGAATTTACTGTTCTCCGTTATTCTAATTGTACCGTTTGCAACAAGTGAAGTTAAAAAAAAAAACAGGGTGGAAGTGCTTTGTGCGAAAACCTTTTGTTGGTTTTAACTCAGCTTTCAACATCCATGCTGTCGACTGCTGTTCACTTCGGGCTCAAAAGCATAAGTTCACATTCATTCATCACCTGTCACAATGGCTTAGACGTGTTTCGAAACACCGCTCTCATATTTTTTTAATATTTCCATCAACATTAGACTTTTTTTGTACGATTGACAGTCAATTGCATTTATGTACTGATTCCGGTTCAGAATGGCACTGATGCCACTTAAGAAATCATATTCAAATTAGTATTTTTGGAAGATTTCGTCGAACTGAGACTGCTGAAGGTTATCGAAAAAATATGGGTTTTCCAATAAGAGGGGTTATTTTGATATGCAACAAAACTTTTTCCCTTAAAAGATCGATGGTTCCGTTACTTGAATGGCACGCAAAATCGTCTTGTTGAAAGTAAAGGTTATACAGGTCAATACCATCAAATTCTGGCCATAAAAAATTATTAATCATCTTTCGATAGCACAATGCATTCATTTTCGAAAAATTTAGTTCCCGGCAAGGATCGAATAGTTTCACGCTGAGAATGGATATTCTTTGCAGCAATAAGTCTTAAGTTTCCCGAGCCCTAGATGCGACTGTTTTGCGAATTGACGTAGCCATCGAGGGAGAAGAAATGGGCCGCATCAGTCAAGATGATTTTTCGTTGAACTTTTCATAATGAATTTTAGTAATTTCAAAGCGTTGTTGAAGCATTTATCGTTTAATTTTTATTACTGGCGTAGTTTTGAAATGTCAAATGACAAAAAATTGCAGCTTCAAAAAAGGCATCAACCGGAAAAGGAAGTTATTCAAAATAACACCTCTAATTGGGAAGCCCTTCATTACTATCATTTTTGCTGGAAATTTTTAGTGCTGTTTATTTTTATTTTATTTTTTGAGTAAAGAACCTGATTTCTAGTTATTATATACTTATTCCAAAATAATTTTTTCATTTCCAACCAATGAAATATAAAAAACATATGTTTTTGTACAATAAAAGAAAAAATTTTAAAAATTAAAAAAATGTGTTACACCCACATTTCCAAAAAAATAATTATTTGGTTTGACCACAAAAAGTGCTCACCCCAACCATAGTGCAACGCTCATTTCCAACATAGTAAAATCAAAAAAACCACAACAATGTTGTTGTAATTTGTGTTAGAAATTTTTGTCCAAATCCACATAATATGGATGACTTGAATTTGATTAGTTTTTCTCGTACTCCTCCAAAGCTATAATCGCCGTTTACTGACAGTCATGTGACGTCAATAACATGACACGAGTATGTTTGCTAACTGAACATGCGAGTATAAACACACATTTCGTATACTTTCCTTGAGCAGAAAGAGAAAAAACTTCAGTAATGAGTAATGAGTATTTTTACTACTTGCAGCACTTCAAGTTAAGTATGTATGGTAGTAGACTAACCGGGGAGTTGATTGAACCGAATAAAGTAATATAGACATAATAGATTATTATTTAACAAGCGTTGGGAGTTTATATTGATTTTAGCTTTGCCTTTGATGTGATTTACCGAGAATGTTTTTTTTCGAAACCGTAGGTGCTGTGGAATACATTCATATGAAATTATTATTTGTAAACGGGAGTGTCGTCGACGTTATTAGGATACACATGGATCGATGCTCGATGCATGAGTTGATGGAGATGTATTCTCTTTTTGAGCTCTGTTTAAGGCTACATCATTGTAGTATTTTTCGAGTCAATATTTCACAATCCTTAGATGAGTTTTGCGTAGAGTATGGGTCGAGAACAAGACGAAATTTCTCTTGTCATCAAACATATAGTCATCGTATTCGTGACTTGGCTCCCACGTCACCGTTGGCAGTTGTGACTTTGAAGTTATATATAATTTTGTCTGCCGTTCTATGGAAGCAACATCAAACGTCAGCCGGGAAATCTAACGCAAAATCACTCATGACCACAGATTCTTCTTTGGGTTGAGTAAACTGAAAACCGACACGGTGTGTTTAGCTCGGTTGTAATCAATATTGAAAATTGTGCAGAAACTTAGAACATAACAGACTTTTTTCTATTGGTTTCCTGGCCGCAGGGACATAAAAGGAAACTGTAAAGCAAACGAACTCACCACGCATGGTCCAACCAAGCAGATACTTTCCGCGAAAAAACGCATTGGTTTGCCTTGGGATACTTGCGAATTTCTATGAAAGATGAACTCGCACTGTTTCAGCCATGTCAGAGGCTGATCGAAAGAAATGTGGTAAAAAGGATATTTCTAAGCAAGTAGAAATCTCGACAAGCTGCAACTTCATAGGATGACATGCAAAAAGGTTGGGAGCTCGAAAAACGATCTAACATCTTATATAAGATTACCATGCCTGGGACAGAAATAGATTCTGAGAGCTACCTTCTTTAGTGATTTTTCTTATATAGCAGACATCTAGGTAATTAGTCTCTTAAAAATCATAAAGGAATTATATGCAATCGTAACAGACTTTCTAATAAAAACTAAAAATGATCTGCACTGCATTACCGACAGATGCGATTAATCGATGTTTTGCCACTACTACAGACAGAATGACGTTATGCGTTCGTTTCCTTTTTGCTGAAATTAACTACATCCTTTAATTTTGAACTATCACCTAGTAAATAAGAAAATATTGTAGTGAATTATCAAATAAATATGTGAGTATTTAGATGACTGCTTTGCGCTTCTTTGTAGAAAATTGTTGTATTCAGTAGTTCGTCAAATTTTTTTGCTTATGTGTATCTAAAATAGAAGTTTTAAAATATCGCAATGTGCAGATGTATGTACATACATATGTAATTAAATTTTCAAAAGTTTGCTACCGTCGTTTGGTAAATTTTATTTAATTTACAAGGTGAGTAAAATTATTTGCCTTATTATTGTAATAATGCAGTATTTTTTTAAAAGGTGTATGTATGCTTTCATAAAAACTTCTGGAATTTATGCCGCATTTTTGATGTATTGTAAAATGTGCCGAGCGTTTTAGATATTCGGAACATGTACGTATGTAAATACATATATTTATACATATGTATGCATGTATATACAATTGTGTCTTCACAAACTTGTTGATTGTAAAGCCATCAGTATTTTCCTACAACTAATATTTCCAATTTACTTTGTCCTTATCTTTTTTCAATCTTGCATTAGTCCCATCATTCTTATCGCCACATTTCGAATGGAACGTTATTACGATAACACTGAAGTTTCGGTATGTTTCACATCAGCGGAAAACTTTTGGTCAGCCTTCTACTTCATCGCCTGTATTACAGTATTCTTTTTGTTACCATTCATCGTGTTGGTGTTCCTCTATGTAGCCATCGCTTATAAACTTTTACGCCGCAATATTGACTTCCATCGACCCGCCACAACCACCGCTGCACATGTGCCGTCAACCACTTGTATAAGCTCGGCTATCTTGCGCCAACAATCGATAAACAAACCACCAACACAGTTGACGCGCAATGTCTCAGTCAATAATAATAACCGTAACGGCGGCACATTAAATATTGGCGCAAGCGCTCAACAACTGCGCATGGGTATGCGGAAGCATCGCAAGCAAGTGATTTTCATGTTAGTTGCAGTTGTCGCCAGTTTCTTTGTTTGTCTCTTACCATTCCGGGCTTTCACTTTGTGGGTCATTGCTGCATCTACAGAGGATATAGCCGCGCTTGGCATTGATGGTTATTACACTATTTTATACTTCTGTCGTATTATGCTCTATTTGAATTCCGCGCTCAATCCTATACTCTACAATCTAATGTCATCGAAATTCCGTACTGGTTTTTGTCGTTTAATTATTTCTTGTTGTGGCGGGCAGAGAGCACACATAAATGGGCGTGATAATAGGCGTGGTACGGCCACCACAAACACGACGAGCAGCCGTCGACAATTGGAAACCAAGCAGCCTACAAGTACATACGATCAACGTCGTCTCAAATTCAAACGTGAATCAACTTTTGCTGTGAGTTCATCCCTTTCCACCTCTTCCAGTACGGAACGGAGCAGCAGCGTTTCGAGAAATGTTCGACCTTCTATTGCTAAACGTACGGCGGTAGGTGCGGCGATTATCAACATAACCAGAAGTACTGTATCGAGTGCATGCCCCTTGGAATGTGATGAAAACGAAAAAGAATGAAAAATCCTCTTAAAATGAGCATAAATACGGAATTCATCACATATATTTATAAGCCATGCATATGTTGCATTTTTAAGTAAGACTGATAAAGCTCAAAGTCAATAATAGATGTTTTCAATTAGAATGTTTGTAGTAAGAACTTATCTGTGGCCCACTAAAATATATTCAATGTAGAAAATTGTATGTATTGTTTCTGTAATAAACAAAATATAATGTTTGTAAAACATGAAAGGAATTAAGTACTTAACTATCCATAAAACTTTCAGGAGTATTGCAAGTCTTGTTAACTACTCGTACTAAAAATGCAAAGGGTGGAGAATGGACGTTGATTAAGGAAAATGCAAAGGCTGGAAAATGGAAGTGGATTAAGGAAAAGCAAAGTGGTTATTCATTATTGAAACTCGAACTACATATATTATATGTATATAAATTTTTTTTATATATATTCATTTTACCTCCTATACATAAAGATAATTAATATAAACGCCATGGATTTTACTAATTCATTTAAATTGCGTATGTCGTACGTACTTTTTATTTATTAAGGTAGTAAACTAAGATTTGCAGCAATTTAGTTGGCCAGACACAACCAATAGTGGTTTGTTGGACGACTAAATTGTCTAATAAACACAAAATTGTATAACTATGGATTTTTTATTAATAATTATAAAATGGTAGGGGAATATTCAGACGCCCGAAAAGACACTACATCATATCTCCATTACTATGAAACGCTCACACTTTTCGCTATGTATCTTCCCCCGAAATTACTTTGCATACCATCATCGCTCATCATCGTTATTTACGCATTTGTTTACATTAAGGTTTTATTTAAACATTAGTTATAAGTATCTTACTTAAAAGTCCGCGCATTTTGTTGATGTGTTTCATTTTTGTATAGGTTCGCTGTCATAACATTACTTTTGTTGTTGTTATGTACTTAAAAAAACGTTTTAAATATATTATTTTCTGTATCTTTTTTTGTTTCTGCTCCAAACTTATTTAAGTTATATTCCCATTATACTCCAGATCATTATCGTGTTTCCATCGTGTATCATCATATGTGTTTGCAAATGTGTTATAGCCGAGCAGACCAACGTTTGCTTCTTTATCGTTACCACCTTTGTCGTGATTTCTTTTTTATTTGAATGTTGTTTTTTTTTAGTATAATAAAATAATGTTTGTATATGTGTTCACAATTGGAGTTATTCAGCAGCAACCGGATTTGGTGTTTTCCACTGGACGTCCTTGATCGATCTTTACTTTACTGGCGTTCTCAGTGGCACTTGAAGGCGGCCCAACACGATTCTTTATCTCGGCAGCCATCGTCAAGAAAGCCTGTTCAACGTTCGTTGCATTTTTGGCTGAAGTTTCCAGGAAAGGAATGCCTAATTGAGTTGCATATTCCTGTTGATTGATAAATTGAAAATTTTGTTATGAGTAAATAAAATACAATTATGCAAAGTGTATATGATGAACTAACCGCAGCTGTGCTCGTATCGACAACTTTCTTAGTAGTCAAATCACATTTGTTGCCCACCAACAACTTATTTACATTTTCACAAGCATATCGCTCAATTTCCTCTAACCATTGCTTGACATTGTTAAAAGACTCCTGGTCTGTGCAATCATAAACAACAATGATACCGTGGGCGCCACGATAATATGACGAAGTAATTGTACGGAAGCGCTCTTGGCCAGCGGTATCCCACTGTTATTGGATGAAAAAAAAAAATAACAGTTTTTTAATGTTTCAAATATGTATCTACCATGTTTTCTCAGACTTACAATTTGCAATTTTATGGTCTTGCCTTCCAATTCAATGGTTCTAATTTTCTGTAATACAATAAAATAAGCGATTAAAAAATGTTATCATATAAAAAATAATTTTTATGCATACTTACAAAGTCAACACCGATTGTGCTAATATAGCTCTCTGTGTATGTGTCATCAGCAAATCGCAGAAGAAGGCACGATTTTCCTACACCCGAGTCACCAATAAGGAGCAGTTTGAACAAATAATCGCTGTAAAGATGAAAAATAAAAGAAATTAAAATAACCATAAATTATATATGAGAAGCAAAATTCCAAAAGCGCCATTCTTAATTTCGGCACTTAAAATTCCCAGCTATTTTCAATATCTACACTTCTGTCTCTAAAAGAAAATTATAAACACTTTTTTAAAAGACAAAATTGACTTCCAAAAAAATTAATTGAATATACTTGTGTACGTACATAAGTATATGCACATATGTACGTATGTATGTACATACATCAAGAATTCATAAACTGTGGAATAAATCCCTTAGACCGAATTCTTCGTCAAATAGATTTAAATTAATAATAATACTTTTATGGCACTAATTTGATTTTGAAAAAAGTTCACGTGAATTCGTTTCACATTAAAAAAAATATTAGGCCCAATTAACTAAACAAATGCAATTCATATTTTTGTTTTGTCATATGGATTTTATCTACCAAGATACATACTATGTACATAGAAATGTGCATGCATAATATATATACAAAAAGTATGTACACATATGCCACATTATTTGGTTTAACTATTTCTACCTCTATATACACAAAACAATATACGAATATATGTATATGAAGTTTTGTGGCGATCAAAACGAAAAATGCAATACACAAAACAGAAAATAAAGTAAGGTGGCAGGTAGTAATATAAGTTAATGCACGCAGTTTTTTGGGGTAGAGTCTTTGTGATTGAGGGAATAAATAACTGGTAGTGAGCATGAGAGAGCCAGCAGAATCTATCTCTCTTTATTAAGTGACTCATCCGCCCCATAATTCCATACTACATAACTTCTCTATTTCATTTCACTATTATGATATTTCAAATTACAAATACTTTATATATTTTTCACATTGACCTAATGAATTGTTAGCTTGAATTCCATGAAACCTCGAATACAGTAATCAGCATGGAAATCTAGCACCAAGTATGTAAACATTCCATACAATGTAAGAATGAGCACAGTAATTGCCACGAAGAGTTCTCCTATGTACGAGTACGACGTTGACGGCGTGGATAGACGTAAACGGGCGACTTCATCATATTAATTGTAATAAAAATGACGTCGCAAAAAAATTTTTTCTGCAGCGCATATGTATAATTATAAAAATTAAGAAAGAAAATATTAAACTTTGCACTTACTATTCTGGATTCATTGCCGACATGTTTTTTTTACTTTTGCTCAACACTAGACTTGGATATTTGGAAAACTTAAACGTTTTCAAATTTTCTGCTCCCTACACGAATTTTACTTGTGTGTGTTGTTTTTTTTTGTCTTCTATGGGCTAATCAAATGATTTTTTCTTTCTTCAGCTGAGCAACACACTTTCCACTGCTGCTTGCCTTGTTCAGTGGACGGTGTTTTATATTTGTTTTATTCGTTTGGTTCACTCGCCAGCGAATATTTTATAAGCAATCAGCTTTATCTTTATTCTTTTACTTTTACTTTTAAAAACACAACTTGTTTTCTATGCCATTAATTGCAAATGAGTGCTGTAACTTTTTATTTTTCGCTCGACAATTTTCAACGACAGTGACGACGACGACGAAAGAACAATGGCGACGAACAAATGACGATGAAGAAAATTCAGTAGTATATCTCACTTCCTCCCAGTCACATCAGTCCTATTGTCTCAGTCGTACACACGAGAAAACGACTTTCCTGACACATCAGTTGTCCGAGTGGCATAATCGTATGTTTATCGATAAGTTTCTCGTATGAGGACTGCCATTGCTTTAGAAAAATTTATAACTTGCATCAAAGAACGTATATTATGCTTGCATTAAAAAATGAATTTTTTTTTGAAAAAGAAAAAAAACATATTCAAGGCGAGGAGAAGATAGTTTTAAGCAAAAGGAATAGAATTTTCAATTTGTAGGTAAAATCTTTGCAAGCTGAAAAAGAGAGTGGGAAAAAAGGTTGGAAATATTTTTAAAAACTTTCATAAAATATATTGTTTTCAAGGGAACCTTCTTCAATATAATTAAGAACGATGTATGATTTTTAAAATATTTAAGGAAGTGGGAACTTGTAATAATAAATGAAAAAACTGAAAAACGGATTTGTTTTTATTTTATTGCTTATTCAAAACAAATTAACATGTAAACAAGAAAGCAAATTATTATTAATATATAAATATTTTACACATCTGTAAAATAATGGTAAAGAAAACGAAATACTTACATATGAATGTACTTAAATAAACAAATAATACAGAGCAATTTAAAGAAAGAATAAAAAAAAAATATATAAAGATAATTTAAAAAAAAGGCAAAATAAAGAGAAGAAAAGTTTAAGTTATATTTTGTATTATTAATAGTATCGTTTTCGTTTTTTTTTATTATTAATTAAATTTTAGTGGCATTTCTGTCAAATGATACTATTTATCGATAGTTTTGCGAGTAATTGTAAATAAATGTGTAAAATACAGCTTTCTCCCTACATCATGAATTACATTGTTTGTCCTCTCAATTGCCAATGAAAATTACCCCATTCTCTCTTTTGCTTCTTCATATTTTTTGTTTCATTTAAAAGGGAAAGAAAAGGAATTTCTTTTAGTAACATTAAATTAAATTAATGATGCATATTCAACATTTCACATTATAACACCTTGGAAGTTATAACTTCTGTAATGAATTCGGATTTTATTAAATAAAGGCCCCTTATGTTGTTTTTTAGGGGTCATAATTTTTTTTGTCTTGCTTTGTCAGCTGAATTTAATAAATTTGCGATAAAAATTAAAGGAGAAAAGGTTTTGATCGTAGTTGGCATGGTAATTCAGAATGAACGATGAAATTACGATTGAGAGAGCGAACAACGACATTGAGGTGCCGTCAGTGTTGTTACACATAGGGAAATTGAAAATTTATTAAATGCAAGTTCATACGCTAAATAAAAAGAAATTAATATGTATACAAATTTTATTATCTTTATGGACATGAGCTGCTTTTTTTCAGTAACTGGGGCAGAGCAGAAAAAAAGTTGTCATTGCCACAGCTGTAAATATCAAAACCAATGGGCCGTATCCAGTATGTGTACATATATATTGCTTGTGCAGACGTAAGGCAAAGCATATAAAATCTAGGCCCTTATTAATTAATTCATAAGAACATTGCTATATTTTATTATATGTAAATATACAATATTGTATATACACGTATGCATGCTCATATATATAAAGCTTTCAACAAAAAGAATCGGACGATATATGAATTGTAAACAAACCTAACGCCTTGCTGCCTCATTTTAATGTCCCTTGATACCAAAAATTAAAGTTGTAGGGAATTTTGTAGGGGAAAAAACATGAATGTAGGGATTTTTGAAAAAAGAAAGTAACAACACGGCAATCCACTCAAACAACTACGCTACAACCCAATTCAGAGAATGCTCACTTAAATAAAAAGAAGAGGAGAGCTTGGCTTCGTAAATCTTCAAAAATTATTTATCCAAAATGTTGAAGTATAAAGTGAATACTTATTTAAACCCAAAATAAAGAAGATAACGGGGCTGCTGACTAGCGTCGTAAGAGAATGTCAAATATGGACACCAGCAAAGAGAAAATACGCTCTATTTTACAATTTTTCTTTGATCAAGGCGAAAAAGCAGCCAAAGCGGCTGAAAAAATTAATTTAGTTTATGGGCCCGATACTGTAAACGAACGTGTAGCACAAAATTGGTTTCGTCGATTCCGTTCCGGTAATTTCGATGTCAAGGATGCACCACGCGTCGGGAGGCCTGTCGTCGAAAATTGCCATAAAATCATGGAAATAGTGGAAACAGACCGTCACGTGAGCACTTCTTTAATTGCTGAGGAACTAAAGATAAGCCAGAAAACAGTTTGGAACCATTTGCATAACCTTGGATTAAAAAAGAAGTACCATGTTTGGGTGCCACACGAACTAACGCAAAAAAATATGTTGGACCGAATTTCCATCTGCGAATCGCTGCTAAATCGCAACAGAATCGACCCATTTCTGAAACGTATGGTAATTGCTGATGAAAAGTGGATCACTTATAGCAACGTCAAACGAAAATGGGAGTGGTCGAATGACAGTGAGCTGATACAAACAGTCTCTAAACCAGGATTGAAGACTAGGAAGGTTTTATTATGTGTTTGGTGGGATTGGCAAGGAATCATTCACTATGAGTTACTCCCCTACGGTCAAATACTTAATACGGACCTGTATTGTCAGCAATTAGATCGTCTGAAGGAGGCAATCGCCCAGAAACGTCCAGATTTGGACAATAGTAGTGGAATTGTGTTTCATCTGGACTACACAAGACCACACACATCAATCGTGACTCGCCAGAAGCTCAGAGAGCTTGGTTGGGAAGTTATTCTGCATCCGCCTTATAGTCCAGACCTCGCACCAAGTGATTACCATCTGTTCCTGTCAATGGCAAATTATTTAGGTGGTGAAGAAATGGCATCAAGAGAAGCCTGTGAAAATCGATTGACCCAATTTTTTGCGAATAAGGAGAAGGTATTCTATGAGGAAGGCGTAATGATGTTACCTTTTCAATGGCAAAAAGTTATCGAGCAAGACGGTGAATATTTGACCCAGATTGAATAATTCTAACTATTGTAAATAAGGGCTTCAATTTAATGTAAAAATAATAGAAAACTTTTATAAAACTTCTTTCTATATTTGTAAATACGTAAATACTTGTAAATACGCTATAAACTTAAACTTTTAATAAATTAAAAACGGAAGTATAATTATACGATATAAATATACATATATGTTTTTAATAATTATTCATCGTTTTATTAATAAAATATAAAGAAAAGAAATAGTTGTATGACATGGTATTGGTAATACCTATTGGCTAGCATAAGAAATACATACAGTGGCTCAAAAATGAACTCGGACACACAAGTTATATGACTTTAAACAAAAAAAATATAAAATAAAATGCAAATCGAGGGCTTTCTGTTTATCAAGTGTATTTTTCAAAACAACCATAAACTAAATTAAACTCGGTCGAATGAAAATAATAAGAACAAAACAACTTAAGAAAACTGATGACAAAAAAGAGCTAGGACATAAACATAACATAATTTAATAATATTATTTAAAGAGAAACAAAATATTCTTAATATTTAGTCATCAAGCCTTTAATTTTTCTGATAGCATTCAGTCTTCTTGGCAAAGATTCAACTAGCTTCTTGCATGTAAAAGAATTTACTCTTCCAAAATAGCGGCTTCTAGGTCTTTCTTATTTCTAATAACATGCATTTTCAGTTTATTTTCCAATGAGCCCACAGATGTTCAATTACGTTAATGTCGGGGGATTGAGAAGGTTTTTCAAGCACTTTAGGACAGTTATACATCAACCATAGACGGACATCAAGTGCTTTAGTACTTTTCCGCACTTTGCACAATATTTTATTTTAAAATGGTCAGATATTGCTGTTGTCCATATTACCATTATTGAAACACAAATTTCCAGTACCAGCTGCCCCCATGTCGGACGTAAATTCTTTTCCAGCAACTCTTCGTTCGGTTTTCTCCAAACATACGGCTCTCCATTTGACCTAAATATATTAAATTTGCTTTCATCTGCAAATAAAACTTGTTGCCAGAATTGAAAATCCTTATCCCCATGACATTTTGCAAATTTTATCCTTTTGTCCATTTATAAATGGTTTCTTCCGTGCTACTCTTCCATTATAATTATTTTGTCGTTAAACTATTCGAATACTCTCCGGATTACAATTGTATACAATATTGAGATGTTGCAAAACTTCTGTTGAGAGCTTGGGAGCGCTCATGTTTGGATTTTTTTTGATTTGCTGCCGGAAACAACTTCGGTCGTCCAGACTTCTTTTCTTTTCCACGAATTTTGTTTGTTTAAATCGTTTAATCACGTCGTGCACAGTCGAGCGGGGTCTGCTCACAATTTCTGCGATTTCCCGAATGGTTTTACTCATTTCAAAATGTCTAATAATTAACTTCCTTACTGCAATTGAACTTTGTCCACGCTGTCTACCCATGTTTGAACTTTTCAACTTATTTTCCAAACAAAACTACTGAAATTTTATTTTAAGATACATATTACGTTTGATTATATACATATGTATTTTTAAACGAAAAAAAACTAATTGTGTGATTCCCCTTTTTAAAATGCCAAGCAACTGTAATATAATATTATCAGATGTCCGACTTCTTTTTTTTGGCGAAATTTCTAGCATGCCACATGTTAATTTTTTGAAGTAAGAGTATAGGAGACTTATAAACTATTTAATTTGTGTGTAATTGGTATTTTTTAAATCCTTATTGGATACCCTATAGAAATATAAAAAACAAAAATGCTTAATATCAATTGGTAAAAAAAAATCTAGCTTGAAGTTGCATGTTAATAACAGTTGAATGGTTGTCTGAGTTCTTTATTGACCCACTGTATTTATATTTTAAATATATGTGTTTTATTAACTTATATATCTTTATTTGGATATCAGTGTGAGGTTGAGTGTAATCATAGTCGTAATACACGTTTATTTACATTATTTTTACAATAACTTTACAAGCACTTCAACAAATACTAATTACTTTGCTAAAAAGAGCAATGTGATAATAATGAAAGGGTAACATTTGCAAAGAAATTCGAAAGCCGATGA